CTGATAAAAAGGCTCCAGAGCGATCCCTAGCTTCTTTCAATTCACCATATGAAGGCACAGCAAAAAGGTGCTCACCATGAACCAGCAAGAGGGCCTCCCTCCCTGAATATGACCTTGCTGGCTACTTGATCTTGGACTTCCAGTCTCCAAAACTAAGAGCAATAAATTTCTGTTGTTTATAAGCTACACAATCAGTAGTGTTCCCAAATGTACCAAGATATTTTGTAAATTAAAAAATTTTTTTTTCTTTTGCCAAACCAGCAGGTGAAAAATGGTTCTTATTGGGATTTTAACTCGGCTTTTCCTGATTATTGATGAGATGGAAGCATTTTATGTGTTTATGAGTCATTTGTATTTTCTCATGAAAAATGCCTATTTATATTTTTTGCCCATTTTTCCATGAGGCTGCCTGATTTTTTTTGTTATTTAACTGTTATTTATATTTTCTGGATGTGAATCCTTTGTTAATCACATATGCAACAAATAAATATTCTTAGTTTGTGACTTATCTTTTTATACTTTATGGTCTATTGAGGTATAAAAGTTCTTAATTTTATTTTAATGGTATGTGTCCATTTTTTCCTCTGTGGTTTGCATTTTTTTCCCTTTGTTTAAGGAATACTTCCCCATCCTAAGGTAACAGTAGTATCCAAGGTAATAGTTGGGCTTCCCTTGTAGCTCAGTCAGTAAAGAATCTACCTGCAATGCAGGAGACGTCGGTTCAATTCCTGGGTCGCGAAGATCCCCTGAAGAAGGAAATGGCAACCCACTCCGGTATTCTTGCCTGGAGACTCCCATGGACAGAGGAGCCCAGTAGGCTACAGTTCATGGAGTCGCAAGAGTCAGACATGACTTAGTGATCAAACCGCCACCAAGGTAATAGTAAACACCAGCACTTAGTGAGTCTTTTCTTTTTTTTTATAAGATTTTGGGGGGGGGGGTTGATTTTACTGTTTTTTTACTTTTCATTTAAACTTTTTATTTTATATTGGAGTATAGCTGGTTAACAATGTTGTGATAGTTTCAAGTGCACAGAAAAGCGACACAGTCATACATACGCATGTATCCATTCTCCCCCAAACTCCCCTCCCATCCAGGCTGCCATGTAACATTGAGCAGAAGTCTATGTGCTATACAGTAGGTCCTTGTTGGCTGTCTATTTTAAACATAGTAGTGTGTACATGTCCATCCCAATCTCCCTAACTATCCCTTCCCTCGGTAACCGTAAGTTAGTTCTCTAAGTCTTATCCATTCTTCTGTCAATGGACATTTAGGTTGCTTCCTTGTCTTGGCTATTGTAAGCAGTGTTGCAATGAACACTGGGGTGCATGTGTCCTTTTGGACCTTGTTTTTCACTGGATAGATGCTGAAGGGTGGCATATATTTATTTATTTGGCTCTGCTGGGTCTTAGTTGTGGCATGCGAGATCTAGTTGCCTGACCAGGGGTTGAACCTGGCCCCTTGATTGGGAGCTCGGAGTCTTAAGCACTGGACCACCAGGGAAGTTCCTTACTGAGAACTATGTTTCAGTACTCTTAACTCCCTTTCATGGATGATGAATGTAAGACACAGAGAAATCAAGCAACCTGATCACTGTCACACAGTAAATAAGTGGTAGAATAAGAATGTGACCATCTGCCTTTAGCATTTGCACTTTGAAGACTGTTTATACTGTCAACTGTAGAGATCATCTGGTTAGTTCAAAAGAATTTGGAGATTTACCTTTCTCATTATTTACTCTGAGGTTGTCATTTGTATATGATGTAAGAGACCTGAACTAATCTTTACCCTAATATCTACCTTATCCCCATAGACATTCATCAGTAGTGAAAAATTATCATTGACTGACTCATGCTAAAGGTGAATTAAAGAAACAAAACTATTTTGTAGAGGCTATAAGCAAGTGATCCTAGGCAAGGTGGGCAAAATGTAACCCTGCTCTCCAGGTTCACAGTAAAGTCCAGCTTCAAATGATGTGGCCCCAGAATAGAATCCTTTGAATTAACTGAGGAAGGCAGACCGCCACTGTTCCAGCACTGAGGACAGGAGGTTGATCAAAGGCTTTTGGCATCTTGTAAAGTGAACAGAACAGCCCCCGAAGAAACCCTGCAAGAGGCACAGGCCATCACAATGCCCGGAACAGCCTCCGGCGCTGCCTACACTCCTGGGACCAAAATAGCTCACATGGCATTCCTGCTGCCTCCTTGTGAACTGTGTGGGAAGGAGCACTGGTCACGAATCCTTTGTTTCAACCACCCCCACACACTAGGACAGTCAGCAACTGCAGTGACATCTTGGCGTCTAGAGCAGAGCACATCACAGGCTGTATACATCATATCCCTTCTGCACCAAGTGCCATCATCCTCCAAAAGTAAAGGTTTAAAAAAATGCCAAGAAACTGAAAATTATTTTTTATTTCAAAAATAAAATGAGAATGAGCTAAATGTAGTAGAGAATGGGGGCCAGCTCATAAAGGGTCTCCTACTGATAGACTGAAGAAGTGTGAACTTTATTGTGGCAGTGGGCATGATCCATTTATTAGTTTGCTCGTTGCAGACCCTGTGACTAGTTACAATCTGGCTGATAGAATACACTATACAATGGTTGTGCCAAGCTCTGCTAGTGATGCCCTCCCACCCCATCCTGCTTCTTCCTTACCAGCGGGGCTCACCTCCCACTCCCAAGCCTGGAAATGCCTACCAGTCACTTTCCCAGCCTCCCTGGCATGTGATCCAGTCCTGGCTAATGGGATCGGAGAGGGGGAGGCAGCTGGGGGGTGGGGGAGGGTGGGATTCTGGGAAAGCTTTCCTATCTAGTGAAAAGATGCTTAAGGAGAAAAGCCCCACTTCTTTTCTAAATGTGATCATGTTTACATGCAGTGTCTAGAGCTGCCACCACGAATAGGGACAAGGCCAATACCTCATGGATGGCAGAGCAGAAAGATGGAGGTGACAACGTGATAGAACCGCACAGAGCCCCCCTCCCACTGGAGATAACAGATGGTCATTGCTTAAGACGCTTTTACTTGGATATTCTGTTACTTGTACCCCAAACCATCTCAACTGAAAGGAACATTAATAAAGTCACCAGTACAAAGTAATATAACGTTATAGGAAATATTAAAAATAGACACTGTTCCCTTCAGATACTTATTGGAAATAAATGAGCCGCGAAATTGGAAATAGTTAGCTACCATATTAACTGTTCACTGAATATTTTGAGTACTCAAGCAGGAAACTACAACTTCAGAGATGTCTTGTTTTTCCTCTATCTGAAATGTTGTATTGTTTTTTTTTCTCATTTTATTCTCTCATTTGCACATGTCCCTAAGGAACATTGAAAACCTCCTAATTCCCTGCTAAGCAGCAATTCTCTCCTCTTGTAGGTCTCTCTCTCATGAAGTCAGGGCGGTCAAAGCACCTTATATAAGAAGACTCAGCATTGTGCCAATGAAAGAATCACAAGTTTCAGGGCAACAATAAAGAATCAAGGAATTCCCAAGGCTAGAGGGACCTAACATCACATGTAGTAACTCGGTATTATTTGAATACAGGTAAAACCAGAACATCTGGTTAGAGTTCCATAGGCCCATTACGAATTATCTCCCCACCTAAATTGTTACATGCAGTGGGTGGCAACTTTCCAGCAAGTCCTCCTGGTTCCATCGAGTCCAGCCCATCCAGTCCCAGATACACGCCGGGGTCCTCCAGCTACCACTGGAGAGTCCTTCTTTCCTTCTAGGAATAACTGCTAAGGTTCTGTCAAGTGTTGGCCCTGAGATGTAATCTCTCAGATCTTTATTCTCTTGTTGCATATAAAATTTGCTGGGAACTCCTGAATTTTCCATATGCAAACAGTTTTAAAAATATAAGTGAGAAACTCTGCATCTGAGATAGAGAGCTGGATTGCCAGCTACCGAAAAAGGTGGCTGCTTTGGGTTGCCAACAAAGGTCTGTCTAGTCAAAGCTATGGTTTTTCCAGTAGTCATGAATGGATGTGAGAGTTGGACTATAAAGAAAGCTGATGGAGAAGGAAATGGTAACCCACTCCAGTATTCTTGCCTGGCAAAGTCCATGGACAGAGGAGCCTGGCGGGCTGCAGTCCATGGGGTTACATGACTGAGCATGTGTGCACGAGGGTGGAGGGAGATAGGTTGGTAGCAATAAAGTGGTAGAACTAAAAAAAAGAAAGAAAGCTAGCTGAGCACCGAAGAATTGATGCTTTTGAACTGTGGTGTTGGAGGACTCTTGAGAGTCCCTTGGACTGCAAAGAGATCCAACCAGTCCATCCTAAAGGAGATCAGTCCTGAATACTCATTAGAAGGACTGATGCTGAAGTTGAAGCTCCAATACTTTGGCCACCTGATGCGAAGAGTTGACTCATTAGAAAAGATCCTGATGCTGGGAAAGATTGAAGGTGGGAGAAGAAGGGGACGACGGAGGATGAGATGGTTGGATGGGATCACCGATTCAATGGACATCAGTTTGAGTAAGCTCCGGGAATTGGTGATGGACAGGGAGGCCTGGCGTGCTGCATTCCATGGGGTCGCAAAGAGTCGGCCACGACTGAGCGACTGAACTGAACTGAATGTCTCCTTTCACTCCTGTTCACTTTAGTTTTAAGTGTTGACTCAGCGCCGCTGGGGTTGGAAGCGCTTTGACCTTGAGCGCATCCCAACCCCGACCGGCGCCGACCCCGCGCGCAGAGAGGGGCTAGTCGTGAGGCCTCTGCGCGCCCAGGCCTGGCCACGCGGAGCTGCGGGCCGAACCGAGGCGAGCCGCCCCGGGAGGCCGCAGCGCGGGGAGGCCTCCGGGGCACCTGGCGCCTCGCGAGGGCGGGAACCAGGTGGCCCGGGCCCGCCCGCCTCGCCCGGACACGGAGCAGGAAGTGGCTCCGGCGCGGCCTCCGCAGGGCGCGCCTCCTCCGCGGCGCCTGGCGGGTGCGGCCGGGCCGGGGAGGCGGCCGGAGCCCGAGCCCCGGCGAGCGGGCAGCGAGCGCTCATGGCGGCGCCGGCGCCCGGGGACCCCCGGGCCGCCGCCTCGGCCGTCCTGGACGAGCTGGCTCGGAACTTCACGTACGGGGCACGGGGCGCCGGCAATGGCTCCCTGTCGGGCGCGTGGTACCGCCGGAACCAGGTAAGGGCCGGCCGCCCCGCCGCCCGGTGGGGACCGGGTTGGGGCCGCCCTCCGGCCGACGGTCCCGAGGACACCGGGCTGCCCACGTGGGCAGAGTTGACCGCAGTTTCCACACGTGGACCTCACTGCCCCGCGTTCGGGAGAGCCGGGAAGCCCTGGGCAGCCGCCCCCGGGAGTGGGTTACACAGGCCGGCGGTTCTGGGCCTCTGTGTCCCCAGACATCCCGCCTCTCCAGCCTGAATTCACCCACCCTGGCGTGTGGGGGCAAACCTCCTCCACCCATATTCACCCCCAGGATCGTTTCACAGTTGAAAACATGAGTGAGACTGTATTCTCAGAATCAGAGAACTGGTTCAAGGCCACTAGATAGCACCTCTGTGCAGATGCTCTGAGCGTGACTGTTGTGTGTGTGTCCCCAGTGTAAGCTCAGCTCCTTCCATTTCCACACAAGGAACACTGACATTCTCACGTTGCAGTTGCCAGACTCTCTCCTTGCTCACAGACCCTGTGGGAAAACGTCGTCAGCCTCAACAACGCCCATGTACGCTGGAAACACACATTTAACAAGATCAAAGGGGATTGGAGCTGCCCATTTATTTCAGGCTTGGTTTAAGAGCAGGAGGAAAAAAAAAAAAAAGCCCTTCCTCTAGCCACATTTATATTCTTTCAGGAAAGAGCAAGTGATCTTGATATGGTGGATTATTCCAGGCTCCCTTCTGTTTTCATAATGTGTTACTTTGTTCTTGTTCTTTAACAAATCAATAGGTCTTTTTATTTTACAACAGTGTAATTATAAAATATCTGTTGTTGGTCTAAATCAGGGGCTTTAACCACTAAGCAAACACCTGGAAGCCTTTATGCTTGCCAAGTGTTTTGAATGTTAGTTTCTGAAATGTTAGAATTTTGTTTTCAAAAATTTAACTCAGAAGATTATTTACTTATATAAAGACAATAAACGTGCCCACCTTATTAGTTTTCAACAGAGGAGAGAATGTCACTTTGAGTGTGTTTTACCACAAAACATACTAAAACAGGAAAAATGAGAGGACACTGAACCTGTTATATTCCATTTCTCCTTCCTTCTACCAAGACTTACAAAGACTGCTTTTCATGGGAAGTTCTTTGAGCATATCTGTTATACTATGCTTATGCTAGCTTGTGTTATAAAGCATATTATAATATGCTAATGCTCGAAGCAGTCCCAATAAAAGTTGACTGATTTTTTGTCTTTTTGGTAAAGGAATTAAAGAGTTAGTAAATGTGACCTGAGATGGCATCATCCAAAACAGGAGAAAACATTGTTTGCAGAGCGGAAGCCTCTGTAGACATTAGTTTTCTTTAATGCTTCCTGGAATTCAAGATTGTCTTGGCTCTCTGACACCAAACATAGCTTATCATGTGACGTAAATGTGAAAACTTTATGTTTGCAAGGCTTAACTTGCCTTTGACAGTATAGGTTTGTACAGGTTAGAAAGAGTGTATCAGGAATATGCTAATTGCAACTACTTGGCTGAAACCTGAACCATAGCTAGTTTGAGATAAGACTGTATCAACTTTTCCCATTATTATTCAGATTTAGGCTATCTTATAAGATTGTGGTATTTTATTGATTGCATTTGTTTTTAAGCAAAAGTAAAACTTGAATTTTAAAAATTCATTCAGCAAACATTTTATTGAGTGCCTTTTGTGCTGAGCAGGCCAGTAGAAATAAAATGGAATCTAATTTTTCTTTCCTTTTTGGACATTAGGTGATTATGTACTGTGCTTAAGTCGCTCAGTCGTGTCCAACTCTTTGTGATCCCATGGACTGTAGCCTGCCAGGTTCCTCTGTCCATGGGGATTCTCCAGGCAAGAACACTGGAGTGGGTTGCCATGCCCTCCTCCAGGGGATCTTCCCAACCCAGGGATTGAACCCAGGTCTCCCACATTGCAGGTGGATTCTTTACTATCTGAGCCAGGAGGGAAGCCCTAACTGATTATAGATAGCTGCAAATGGGAGTGGCTTCAAGAAAACAAAATAAGGGATATAAGTTTAGGACTTCCACACTCAAAGTTAACCTTGACTACTGGATGGTGGTTTAGTCGCTAAGTCGTGTCCGACTGGCGACCCCATGGACTATAGCCCACCAAGCTCCTCCCTCCATGGGATTTCCCAAGCAAGAATACTGGAGTGGGTTGCCATTTCCTTCTCTGGGGGATCTTCCCAACCCAGGGATCGAACTCCAGTCTCCTGCATTGCAAGCAGTACTCCTGCATTGTTGGCAGATTCTTTACTGAGTGAGCCACCAGGGAAGCCCTGATTACTGGATAGCCAGAGTTTAATGAATTTTATCACTACTGAAATATTTGGACAGTGTCTGTTCAGTGATACTCAGCTCTCTGTGTTTTTTCACAAGATAACCATCAGATCTGATAAATTAACCTTACTCACAGAAAAAGAGCAACTTCCCTGAAACACATTTCAGGTGACAGATGAATACTTAACAGTGCCTTCTTAGAATCAGTGGCATCTAAGGCAAAGATGTGAGTGGTTTTAGAGGAAGAAATCCCCAAACAAGTAATAAGTGGGAGTTCAGTGGGGAAAGTGTTCTAGGGAATCAGGGAAGCAAGGCTTTTGCCCAGTCTGCGTTACTTAGGCATCTGACTATATAAGTATAAATCCAACTAAGTTCTGCAAAGGTATTTTCTTTATGTTTGATCCACTAGTTTTCAGTATAAAAAGACAATGCTTCTAAGATGATTATTGAACTCCCCACTTTGTACAAAGCATTGTGGAATATTCAACATAATCTTTTGACTCAAACTCTTCCTTCCTTCTTATTATTAGATGCTTGGGGAAACAAGCTATTTAGGTAACTCTAAAGCAAGGCAGTATGTTTTAAGTGTCATGTGAGGGATATAAAGTCCTTTGGGAATTCAGAACAAGGTGGCTTTCAGCAGGGGCCATCAGGAATGTTTTCCAGAGAGGTGCTGTTTGTGGACACTTAAAGACAGAGTTTCATTAATGAGAGTGCACAGATGGAAGGCACTCCAAGCAAGGAGAAAGTCTGGAGACAAAGGAGCAGCCCACGTGGTCTGGACAGGTGTCCTTCTGAACATCTTTGTATGTAGAGTAGAAGTCAGTGGCCATTCTGGTTGCAGTGGAAAACTGACCGTGACTGGAAAGTGGAAGGACAGTTTCAGGTCTTACATATCAACATGAGTTGCCTTGAAGGATAACGGGTTAAGATGTTTGGACTCTATCCGGTAGACAGTGGGGAGCCATTGAAGGTTGTTTTGTGAACAGGGAGTGAAGCAATCAAAGCAAATGCTGCTGCTGCTGCTGCTGCTTCTAAGTCGCTTCGGTTATGTCTGACTCTGTGTGACTCCATAGACGGCAGCCCACCAGGCTCCTCTGTCCCTGAGATTCTCCAGGCAAGAATATTGGAGTGGGTTGCCATTTCCTTCTCCCAAAGCAAATGAAAGACATTTGAATTAGAGTCAGCAGTGTGAAGGAGCCTCAAACAGGCCAACTGTGGACTGAATCCAGCCTGTAGATGTGTCTTGTGTCAAACTGCACAGAGGTTTAAAAATGTTTAATACATTGCCAACATTTAAAAAATGAGCATGTAAGGTTTCAAATTTCCATGATCTTTTTAAACATCAGAAGTGCTAGCAACTTGGCCCTCTTCCCCACATGATAACTGTGAGGGGGAGTTCACAGCTCAGAACATCTGTGCTCCCCACTTGGGCTGTCTTCTCTTTTACCTACTGACCCCTGTAGGCACTTAATTTGCAAAAAGTGTCAGAGGCTGTTGTCTACTTTCTGCTGTCAACTAGCTCAGTGCCTGTAGGCAAGTCACACTGGGCTTCAGTTTTCCTTGCTGGTAAACTTAGGCTTAGAATGAAAGATCCACAGTCTTTTTCATGTTATCTGGTTGAATAAATAAGTGCCAATCCAGCAAGGCTGTAGAGGGAATGGACAGGAAAGGATGAACGTGGGAAATATTGTAAAGGAGGGGTTTCGTGACTGTTTCTTTAAGTTTATGCACATTGTTAAATATCTAAATTCACAAAGATACTGTCAGAAAGGTTTCTTCTGCACAGGGTGAAATGAAGAATTCAGATTTTTTTTTAATGTCCTTTGTTTGAACTTTTGATTTCCAATGGCTTGAATTTTTAAAGTCAACATAAAGGAAAATTGATACATCTTGGCAGGGATGAGGGGAATGGAAGAGACTGACATTTGTTATGCATTTGCTATGTGACACTTTATAGCTATTATCTCATTCGAGCCCCCCAACAACCTTGTAAGATACGTATTATCCTCACTGTTCATGTAAGGAAATTTGTGTTAAATAACTTGCCCCCAGATCTTACAGCAAGTAGGTTTAACTGCAGAGCTATTTTTATTCCATGCCTGAAGGCCATTGCTTAGAAACTAAAGCTTGAAAAGAATGTGGTAAGGGAAAATGAATATGGCTTGTCTCCCTGGACTAAAGAAAAATCACATTGGGTTTTATAGTGCCCTTTTATTGATTTTGCTTTGCTACCATTTATCTCTTTTCTGCTGGTCACTGCACCTGATTGCCTCTTAGAGACAGAAAAGTGTCAAAACTTACAAATAACCAAAGGGCGAGGTGGAGGTTACTGGTCCTTTCCATTTCCTTCCCAAGAAAAGCCTCTTTTTAAATTTTGTTTATACTTATTGACCTTCTTTTTTTAACCTTCCTTATATAGCCAATGTGGCATTTCCCCTTTACCAGGTTTTTTTTCAAGATGTATGTACAATATAAGGCAGCAAAAAGGAGGAAGGAAGAAATCAATTACCTCAAAGCAACTGTGTCAAAGCTTTTGTGACCATTATCATCATCGTAGTCATCCCATGGTCCTTAATTGAGGAACAGATTGTTCATGCTGTCGTGAATTTGTCACACCACATGTTTGCATTTAAATCTACCTGTCATTCCCACTCTTTGTGACCCCACAGGCTGTAGCCCACCAGGTTCCTCTGCCCACGG